GTGGAGGAGTGTAATGCTCCTCCGCTTGTTTCCTCCAATATAATTACTCCTCCACCCTGTTTTAAATATATACTACTATATAATACAGGGAACTCACTCCTCCACGTCTCTTCTAAAAACCTCGCAACATGTTCATGTGTTAGGAGTCTAGGGGGTAGGGGGGGCAGCTATTGAAAAAGATGACAAGGAAGTGGGTGACTTGGCAAAGATGGCGCTTTTGACACATCCCTCACAACCCCCCGCAACTTCCACACCTAACTCACCCAACACCTACTACCTCAATGGTTCCACCTCACACATTACACTTTGCTATAGGGTACATATGCTAGACATCGAAACTACCCATAAACTTGCTTCTTTCCTCGAAGCCAAATTTAGCCTCAAAAACACGACAGAAATTCCGAGACCGGTTCATGGGCCCCTGCAGTTCCAACAAGGGGCTTCTGCACGTCATCCGACCAAAGCAAACACAGCTAAAGCGTTGGTTGAGCCAGGTGACTTTCCAGCTTTGTGGCTGGATGGGTTGAGTCTGAAGCCAGCAAACCATCATTCAACACCAAACCTTGGGCATCGAGCTTTGCTAATTTCCTGTGGGCTCCATGGGCACAGACACAAAAAAAGTCCCAGAGCACGCTTGAAAACCGTAGAGACCGACCCGATTTTTGAGGCCAAAAACGGCCTCAATGGACGAATTCAAGTCCAACACCGCACACCCAACGGCAAGGCTTGTTCTTGTCAGGCATGGAATGTTGCAGCATAAAAACATGGCGCGTTCTGTGCCGGACGACCAGACAAAATCGTCATCCCCAATCGAGCCTTGCTTTGTACTCCTGGCGTTTATACTTCTCAATGCGCTCGTAGCCGCACTACTGCAAAAGCACACAACTCGGGGAGGGCCAAACCCCAGAAGCCCCATCGTTGTCGTGGAGGTCGTGGGAACACCTGGTCCCGCCACAGCTTTTCCCAATCTAATTCTGATCCAAAACGAGCCTCCCATGGTCGCACTTTGGGTGCCAAACGC